TTTTCATTAAAATCCATTTACTGGTTCATGAGATGTTTTACTAACACTATACACAGAGACGTGGGGGGAAACATGCTGGCAAATCAAAAGAAAACATCAGATAGCTATTTCAAACTTATTTATGTCACTATTTTAAAGCTCCTAATTTTTTGATAATTGCTTTAACTTCAGCACATTACTTGATTCTTGTTGAATGTAAAGAACAAAATTACAATAAAGTGGTGTGACTACCAATAACAACAAAAACAAGGCCATACGGCACATTATACGACCGTTGAAACGCTATTACACAACAATAAAGCAGCCTATAGCAATGGCCTGGATGAGCAAAGACCTTATATAGTTTGACCTTGATTTGTAACCTTGACCTTAAAGCTGTGGTGATGAAAAGTTTACTTGACAGTTTGCCAATTATGCATGCATGTATGAAGTTTCATTAAATCATCTTGAGCATAGCAGAAGTTATTGCATTGACAAGCAAAAGACTTGATTTAGCTTTTACCTTGATTTGTTACCTTGACCTTGAAGCTAGGGTGATGAAAAGTGTATATGACACTGTTTAGGATGCACCCAAGTGTATACGTGTGGACAGACGGACAAAGACTATACGGTACCTTAATATGTCCGCCTCTGACATGTGTAAGACAACTATAATATTGTTAATTCAAGTAATATTATTTAATTGCAGGTCAGATGCTGATCATGTGACACTGGACAGAGCTCATGGTTTTAGTTTTAATCACATTATTGTTTACTGTAGGTTTCTTTGTTCTCACTGCAGATGTATGGAGCCCAACACTGTCAAACTTTCTTATTTTCTAATCCCCTGAAGCCATTTCATTCCACAACACCAGCAGTCAGTACTGTACTGTTGATTAGGCTAAATGAAGCCACATTACTCCATAAATTCAACCATATGTAAACTCGAGCACCAGCATAATCTCAGGCAGTGAAGTTAACAGTTTTAACCTAACAACCTAAGCACCACCATGTGTGCCATTATAAATTGCTGACTTGATTAGAACCCCTCTGCTGAGTAACACTGACAGGTCTGCATGCATGCACTGAACTCTGAATCCTGAAGCTGAAATACTGCAGACAGATCTATTGTTTCTCTCTTTCTATAAATAGCCCAAAGCGATCAGTAATTTCCCCCCATTAAAATACTAAACTGTGAGTCTCTATGGCCATTAGGGCAGACACAACACTACAGAAACACCAACGCAATTCCTTCTCCTAATTCCAATAAAGCAAAAATGAAAGATTCAGTATTTGAGCTATATTTAGAGAAAACTGTGAATCGTGTCATTCTCAGCCTTTGCACGTTTGCAGTAGTACTTTTGTATGTGCAAGTATAAGAAATGAAGGGTTGCATGTTCACAAAGTGTCACATTTTTGAATAATGATGTAAACTTTATTCATCCAAGTTGACAAACTTTACCCAAGCCGACATCAAACACGTTGGACTTAAGATAAATATTCAGTGATTCAAGGTTCTTTATTTGTCATACACACCACATGTGATACATGAGGTGGAACGAAGTTGTGTACACAGGGGCCCAGTTACATCCAATAAATGTATAAAATGTAAAAGAAAAACAGTAATAAGATCTAAGATATGAACTCATTAAACTAAAAATACACTAAGCACTAGTAGAAAAAAACAATACGCCAAACAGCAGCATGCAAATGAGTCTGTGCGAGCAGATGAGTACGAATGAACACAGCAGCTTCATGATGTGATTTTTTTCACAGTGATTATCCTGGTTAGAGATTCATGAGTCTAACAGCCTTGGGGTAGAAGCTGTTCCTCAGCCTAGTGGTTCTACACTTAATGCTCCTCAACCTCCTGTTTGAGGGGAGCAGGGCAAAAAGTTGTGTGTGCTGGGTGAGTGGGGTCCTTCATGATGCCGATGGCTCTCTTCCTGCATCTGGAGGTGTAGATGTCTGTGATGGTGGGGAGACTGATTTCAACAGACTTCTGTGCAGCCTTCACCACTCCCTGCAAAGCTTTGCTTTCTGCAGCTGTGCAGCCTCCATGCCACACGTTGATGCTGGAGCACAGAATGCTCTCCACTGCACACCTGCAGAAGGAGGTGAGGACTGAGCTTCCCAGACCAGCTCACCTCATCCGCCTGAGGATTATGAGTATTAAATATGGAGTTTTCACTGGTATTACATGCAGCAGAACTTCTGATAAGTAAAAAAGTACAACTACAGTGCCCCCACAACATTGAGAGTCTTCACTTATCATCTTTACTTACCAAAGCACCCCCAAAACAAGCTACATTTAATGACCTTTGGTTGGGGTTTTCATCTCTTAACATCCTTGTAAAAACAATGGTATGTTAAGAACATACGGGAAACAAAATGTCCCTGAAGATAAAAAAGTAAAACAGACTTGGTGCCATCTTGCAGAAGCTAGTGAAGATTCTCAGTCATCCAGGACATGATAAATTCAAAAAACGTTCAATACAAGAACAACTGGAATTTATTTGTAAGAGAAGACGTTTCGCTCCTCATCCGATGAGCTTTCTCAATTCAAAGAGCAGTGAGTGAGGGGTTCAGGTTATAAGGCTGAGTGAGATAAGACAATTCACACTTCATACCTGAACAATAGGGGGTTTCTTAAGGTCTTTGTTACTCTAATTCACAGACGAGGCCCCTCTGTTCCCATCAGGTGTGAAAACCGGCTGGGAATCAGTCTTAAAGTTGCATTATAGGTTTTTGAAAGTGGAAATCGGAGGCCGCCTCCTCTGTTAAGAGATGTTTTTTTCTCTTTTAACATAAATTGCTTCCTTCAACCCCGTCCCCCCACCCCCCCACCCCTCTCAAACCATGTGTTCTTGGCCCAAAACGTACACATTTTGGTCCTCAAAAGAGTGTCCCTTATCCGCGAGGTGGAGGTGAACAGCTGAGTCTTGTCTGGAGGAGGTGGCTCTCCTGTGTTGAGCTATGCGTCTGTGAAGAGGCTGTTTAATTTCTCCAGTGTAGAGGTCTGGACAGTCATCTTGCAGAAGGTAACATCAGTGTCTCACTGTGTCTTTATGATATTTAAATGTTGAAATGACTGAACTGTAAACCATACTACAAATTGGTGGAACCCAATATTGCACATTGATCGTGGTGATGGAAAAAGGTCTGTTGCCCCTTTTTTTTTAAGTAATCTGCATTACAAAGCAACCCTTGACTGGTTTGTATTAGTAAAATATTTACTTTCTTATTTTCTTACTATTTAAAGTAGTTTAAGGCAGGCAGTTTTTATTTCCAACTCAGCTTCTTGCAAATGCTGCCGCTTTTCTCTTTAGATACATTTTTTTTAGTTTCTAATGAGATGAGATCATGATTGTTGTTTCATATATTTAACACAGCTTGTTTGTTCATGACCAGATGTCCAAAAACCAACAATTATACTGTAATACTTTTTTATTATCCTGCACCATCTTTCATTCTTTAGAAGTAGGATCATATGTTCACCATATGAGGGCAGTGTTACATCAGGTGTTCATTTGACAGAAGTTTCATTTCAGGTTTTTTTCTTTTTTTTTCTTGAAAGAGCAGATATCATGCCATATGCTTGTTAAATTTTACAATTGCTTGTATTTTTCTGTACAAATATTCTAAACACATGCTTTACAGTGGCATTTAAGATAAATTATTTACCTGATAGCAAACAAATGCACAAAAAAATAAAGAGTACAACACTCAAAATGAACGCTTCAAAAGTCACGTTACACTTTATAAATGCTGATCCCATGATTACAAGTGTATCTTCAAATGCTAAATACAGCAATATTTCAATAAATCAGCTTGCTCCAAAGCAAACACCCTTTGTAACAGAAGTTCTGTTTCCTTTATTGAACATGATTTAGCTTTGACAAACAAAAGCATTATAGTACACTGAAAAGAACCTACCATTGCAAAACAAGACATATGAACAGAATAAAAGCACAAAACTTATATTATTCACATCTGGACCCAGTAAAGCACCAAGTTCAAATTTGAAACATTTTCTCTGCACAACAGGTGGTACAGAGGTTGTTGATAGGATCAAAAACTTTAAATTTTATGTTAAATGTGTTTTTCTTTCTTTGTTTTGTAAAAAAATCTTAACCTTACTAATGAAAATGCATTGGATCGGATTTGCTGTATTACTTTCTTTCAATGTTAAAACACACAACACTCATAAGAGTAAAACATTAACTGGCTTTAACAGTCAAGATGTTAATACAGCAGTGCAATGTGATGTTGGCTCAGCAATGTCAGTTAATCATTTCTTACTCTGTGTAATAAAATAGGCCCTTTGGCACGAAGGAGCATGATTTTACATTAAGTCCATGAAAGTATTAAAATCCCAAAATTACTCAATTTATATCTAAAGTGCAAGGTTAAACATACTATCTACATGTAATTATTTTTTCTTTCTTATAGACTTTAAGGGTGGCTGTGGCTGAGTGGTTAGAGCAGTTGTCCTCCAATGCAAGAGTTGGGGGTTCAAATCCACCAGCAGTCACATGCTGAAGTGTCCCTGGGCAAGACACTGAACCCCTCATTGCCTCTGATGCGTGTCCCATTGGTGCATGAATGTGATACAGCAGTGATTATTCTCTTAGAATGGTTTGTTCAATTAGCTTTGTATAGAAATAGTAGAGTGCTGTATGGATAGGTAAATGAGGCACAGATTGTAAAGTGCTTTGAGTGTCTTGATAAAATAGAAAGGTACTAGAAGTAGTCCATTTCCCATTAAAACATATAATAACATTATTGTCCACAGCTGAAAGTGAGAATATTAAGTGCTCATGTCTGTGGTCGTCTGTAGTTTTAGCAAATTGTCACATGAAACAATAGGTGAACTTTTAAAAAAAGCTCTTGCAAAGTACTCATTGGCTGTACCTCTACAAGTGAGTAAAGTTTAGTCACCCCAATTCAAGATGACTGCCACAGCTAGTCAACATTAGCAAATGCTAAAAAAAAAAGCTAATTTTAGAAATGGTAGTAGCTAGAAGTCATCCCCAAAACATATTCTGAGTGCAATAATTTGTACAAGATCTTTCCTTAAAACACTATCATTAACTTTTAAATCTTTAATAGCAAAAAAAATGTTGTGAAACACTGAATAGAAAATAACCATTGGATGGACATTTATGTCATGATCAATCCAAGTAAACCTAATTCAAGATGGCTGCCACAGCTAATCAACCTTAGCAAAGACAAATAAATGTCTATAACAGTCAATTTTACAGATCTTGTGCTAATTTTGGTGTTGTAGTAGCTGGACGTCAGTTAGAAGACACAAACCAAACCTTCTCCACCTGCTCCTTTCCAAGCTCCCAGAGTTGTTGGAGAATATGTTTGCCATTCCTGGATGTAATCATCAGATACTCCACATTTTCTGGGTGCAACGTCACAGAATAACAAGCTAAAACCAAAGACTGACAGAAGCGGGACAGCACCAGCAAAAACAGACAATCTTTCTCATCCTCATTGAGGGGAATGACGCTTTCAAAGCCAGCAAGAACCGGTCGACCCACCTCAACAGGCTCAGGATGCTCAATCATCATGTACATTATGGTGATGGCGAGTTCATGGATGTAGTAGCCAGAGTTCATGTCTGAAAAATCAAGGATGCCAGAAATCTTGTGGCCACCACTACTATCATCTGGTTGCACAAGTATATTGAGGTCGTTGAAGTCGCCATGGTTAATGCCTTAAAAAAAAAAAATACATTAAATGTATTCCATCAGCCAAAAACAATCCCATGAGGAATATTTTGTTTGTATCGAGTATGACCAGTATAGTGGACATATGAATGTGATTAAAAACAACAAATATCAAAAGTTAAATACTGTATTTTTCACCATATAGGTTGCAACTTTTTGCATAAATTTGCAAGTCTTGCGACTTATACACCGAAGCGACTAATATACATTTTTTTCCTTATACAAAGTATTTATAACCCAATTTTTGGCTGAGATCTGACGATTTTATTCATTCTGACATGGAAAGTATTAAACATTACCATTTGCAGATGCTAGAGGGTCCTCGAGCATTATGGCAAGCCAATTATCTCATTAATAGGTAAAAGTGGCCATTAATGAGACACATGGCTTGCCATAAAGACAACCTTTATCTCGTTCTGGAACTCCTGGAGCAAAAGTCAAATCAGCTGCATTTCGCCGCACTGCCCAGGCAAAATGCAGCTGATTTGACTATTAAAGTGTGTTTCTTAAAAAAAAGTTCAACTGATACACACCATTACTATAATGTCGAGCAAACAAATAATTGTTTTTAGGTGGTTATCTTGT